TGGCTCCTCCACCTCCTCCTTGCCCCCTCCCCCCTCCTGCCTCCCCTCCTCCTTGGCCCCCTCTGGCTCTGGCTCCCTGCTCCGCCGCCAGCCGCCTCCGACCAGCTTTGTGCTTCTTGAGAAATTCTGGGCTCTCCTCGCTTCCCCTTTCTTTGGCCAGGCTGGGTCACATGGTGCTGTGGGGTGCTTGGGCGAAATGAAAGCCTGGGTCACAGGGTCTCTGCCGGCCTGGCTTTCTAAAAACCTCCCTCCTTCCCCAGACTACTCTTCCCGCCCGCACCTCGGGAGCCCGGGAGCCCGGAGGACTCTTTTCCATCTTTCACTTTCGCTTCTTCCCTGGAATCCACTTTGGCTGCATCCTCTTTCAATCACTATCCAAAGCTACAGTGAGGGGACTACCAAGGCCATTTGCCTCATGTGGTCCCCACCCCCGCCCCCGCCCTCTTTACAGATGCAGAGGCGAGGCCCAGAGGGAGGACCTGTAGGCAGGGAGGGTGGGGATTACCGGGCTCGTGCTAACTGAACCAAGGGTGAACCACTGTAGGGGCCCGTGAGTGACAGGGGAAGCTCTCCGAATGCAATTCAGATTGTGTAACTGTCATCGGGAGGAAGGAAGCGGGGACACCTTCAGGAAGCATGTGGTGCCACACAGGGCCCACGAGTGAGTCGAGATTTAGAGTGGTCTGGACCTCAGACCAAATCCAAACCGGGCCTCAGCACGGCCTGCTCAGAGCCCTGCGATGCACTGGGGTTAAGAGCTGGCCCTCAGGTGCAGCCTAGAAGCCCAGAGAGTTCTCACTCCCGCCCTCCTCCAATCTCACAACAGCCCCGGGGACCTTCTTTCCATTCCCCCCAACTGCTGAGCTCTGCTTTCTGCCAGAACTGCTCTCCCTCCGGAGCTCTGCATGGCTGGCCTCTTCTCTTTATTCAGATTTCAACTGAAATGTCTCCTCTTCATAGAGACCTTCCTGACGGTCCTAAGTAGTTGCCTGCTGGATCCCCAGCACCCTCCATCTGTCACACCGTCTTGTTTTCCTGTCTTCAGAGCACAGAATACTTGTTCCATTACTGGTTTATTGTCTTCCCCAATAGAGTAGAAGTTCCATTCGGTCAAGGACATTGTCTTTTTTTTTTTAAGAATTAATTAAAAAAAATTTTTTTTTAATGTTCATTCATTTTTGAGAGAGACAGAGAGGATGAGTGGGTGAGGGGCAGAGAGAGAGAGAGAGAGGAAGACACAACTTGAAGCAGGCTCCAGGCTCCGAGCTCTCAGCACCGAGCTCAACGCGGGCCTCGAACCCACGAACCACGAGATCACGACCTGAGCCGAAGTCCGACGCTTAACGGACTGAGCCACCCAGGCGCCCTGG